TCTTATTATGTTGTTCCCATCCCAGGTTAATTATACAGAAGATTCTGCGGTGGTTTGGTTTTGGTTTGGTTTTGGAGTGCTTTGTTTTGGGTTTTCTTTCACATCATTGCTTTTTGTTTGAGAGAAACTGATGTGTGCATATAAAATTTCTTCTGTCAATTTGCAAGAGATAGATCCTGCATGCAGGAACCCTGGTTTGTAGAAAAGTATTAAATATCAGATGCAGAAAGCAGTTTTTAAGTTTTCAAATAATAATAGTGGCACTACCACACAATTCATGCCACAAAATTAACAAGATCTGTAGGAGGTTTTTTTTTGTTTGTTTTGTTTTGGTTTTTTTTTAATTTTACCAAAATGTAGCATAGAAATGTATGTAACATAGTAAGCTCTGTTATTTTGATTCCAGGCAGGAATGTCTTACCTTTTCATGTTGGAGATTTGGAGGACAGATTCCTCTTGATCAGCTGAAACACTACAAAGTGTGTTACAGTTTTGTATGGAGAGGAAGTGATGTGAAGGATGGGTGGAAGGAGAGGTGTCTTCCAGCCTTTCCATTCTCAAGCTTTCTGTCTAAACAAAGGATTCCTAGGCTGAAAGTCAGAGAAGCATAATTTTGGCTACATGACATCAGCCAAAGCAGGGCTTTACAGGAGTGGCAGGTTTTGCTGCAGTTCCAGACATTTTGCCAGGCAGAGGTGGATTATAGTGTCTAAAAGGAAAAGCCCAGCCACGTACACTCACTCAAACTGGGACTCTTCTTGGTGCTTTTGAGGGATGCAAACTTTGCAAGAGCCTGGGGCGGGCTGCTAACTTCCCAGAATTGTTTTGATCCTTATTGGGTCTTTCCAAATAAAACTTCAGGAAGGAATAAACGCCTCCACTTCAGCTCCAAGCTCCATACCCTGGAAGCAGGTATGTGAGCAGCTTTGCTGCTACAAGGCACAGCCTCATCTTGCCATAAACTCACCTGACAACGAAGTGGCTGATGGCTGAACTACTGAGCCTGAAGAGCTGCTCTCAGTGCCCCTCAGAGTTGTAATGCCTGACAGACAACAGCAGCTGAGATGCTGTGCTGGACAACCTTAGAGGCATATTGACAGACTATTTCAGCAGCTTTTACTTTGGGCAAAAGGAGTGACAGGGAAACTGCTCTAACAGAAAATGGACATTTCTTGCTGGCCAGTGCTTTGCTCTGACGTCCCATTAAATATCAGTAAATCACTGTTGTCAGCAACTTAAATCCATTTAGGGAGAACTCTGTAACAATGGTGTCATACCTCCTGGAAAACAAAGAACGTGAGCAACCACGTGGGAACAGAAGAAACTTCTGTCCTTCTCTGAGTGGGAGAATCTTCTGAGCCTGCCTGCTTCACATCAGAGAACCAGTGGGAAACGAGAAGCTGGATGCAAAGTCCCTGTAGGTTTTATGGCTACACGAGCATTATTTGACAGGTTGAAGTGAAGACCCACTTTAGATTTTAGCATCTGATTTTGCTTTTAAATATACTGAAATTGCTGTTATGGTCTAAAATAAGATGCAGTTCAGTAAATCTCTGCAACTGTGCAGAAATCTAAAGCTTCTCATTTAATTCAGTTAAAGGCTCTGGCAGCACGAATTGTTGCATATCTTCTTGCTTTCCTTTATATGAAACCCTCCATCCACAGCAATCTTCATGTACCTAGCTTGACTTTATCTCTTTCATCATTGCCTAACCAAGGTGCAAACGGCACTGCACATTGGAAAGAATTTCTGTCCCACTTAATCCTTTGTCATGCCTGTTTGTAGAAAAGTGCTTCCTATTCCCAATACCTATTTCCATGACACTGCTAATAGAAACCAGGACTAAAAATCAGGTCTGAACAATCATGTTTTTAACTGTGAGGCAAAGAATACTACCTTGAAAATAAAGAATACTTGCAATATTCAGAAAATTAAGTCCTAGGACATTTCATGTGCAACATAGATAAAAAAATTATATACTCAAAGATTAACTTACAATTACACACACTTTCCTTCTGCAACTGCACTGCCCATAAGCATTCAGTTTTCTCAACTACATGCAAGCATATGAAATTAATCCTTACATTTACATGCATTAATCTCTAACTCTTTATGCATATACTCACCTGCAAAAGATCAAAAAATTAATCCAACAAATGCATGAGTCTGCACGGGAATTACATACACAAATGTGTAAAACAATATGCTTATTGCAGCTGTAGGTGTAAGTTTGAACAATTTGTGTATGTATGCAAAGATGAGGTAATACATCTCTTTAGGCTTCCTCAGCACCCACAGCAAACGCATTGACTGAGAAGAGGGTTATGAATTATTTTAATTAGTATGCCTGTCCCATCCTTAGAAATTCCCAGTTTTTCAGTATTAGTGAAATTGGGACTTTTGAAAAGGGATGCCATTTATGCTGATCTTGCACGAGGATGGCAGGGAGAGGAACTAGGTTGAATTGAAAGAGGAAAAGACCTGTTGATTATTCTGTTCTATCTGTAAGCAGAGCCAAAAGTACCCTTCTTCTCTATCTGATAGTCTTCATAGAATCACAGAATTTTTTGAGTTGGAAGGGACCTTAAAGATCATCGAGTTCCAACTCCTCTGCATGAGCAGGGACACCTTCCACTAGAATAGGCTGCTCAGAGCCCCATCCAACCTGCCCTTGAATGCCTCAGGGCTGGAGCCCCCACAACATCTCTTAGCCTGTTCCAGTGTTTCACCACCCTTACACTGAAGAATTTGTGCCTGATCTCTAACCTAAATGGGAGCAAATGTTGTATTGATTATTTTTCAGAAGTTATTTACTGAATCATTTTTCTTATGAGGGTCTAATTTTAAAATGGTTGACACATTCTAACAGGCTAAAGACAACCCAGCACCCTAACATTAGTAAAAATACTTGATTTTACTACCATTTCTTTAATAGAGACAAAGGGAGCATAGTACCTCATAATGGACAGAAAGATCTACACCCAGTGTCCTTCAATTTACATCAGTCTGATGATCTTGGTTAGTCAGACCTTTCAGCAACTATAAATCTAACTCTTCTTGCTAGTCCCTAAAGACCTACTTGGATGGTCAAGATGACAGCAGCGTGACAGAGGCTCAACTGCCGAAATTGAGAATGTGCCCTTCCTCTCCTCTTCATTTTACAGACCATGAGAGGGGTGTGGAAATGGTATCCTGGGAGCTCTTGGAATAAAACTGAGGAGAATCTTGACCTGCTCCATCAGAGATAAAGTCTCTTTTTAACTACTTAGGTCCTTCCATTTTTTAAATTAATGTTCCTTTTTATCACCCAGAACAATGACCAATTCTTTCATAAAACAAAGGTTTGGAGGGAAGACTTAACATGCAAGTTAGTGTTTCTAGAAAGGTCAACATTCTGACTATTTAGGTATAAGGAAAAGAGTTATTCACAGACAAGATAAAACAGCAGTTTTAAAGGTGTGGCCAACAGATTCCTGGGAGCACTTCACTACACTGCACTACAGGCAGCATTTAAAACTTTTGTACAAAGAACTGTTGCACAACATGTACATGTTTCTGTCAGCAGCTTTTAAACAATGTTTCTAAAAACTTCCTCCCCCCCAGTTATTACCATGCAAGAAATTGCTGTGGCAAAATTACAAATTATACATAATGAAGAAAGGGTCCACGAAAGGCCTTCAATCATTTAAGATCCCTTCCAGAGAGATAAGTATTACATCTTACAGTGGGTCTACTGCCCCAGGCAGAAAGCTCAGCAGTTACAGAAAGGATTATGTTTAAACAGTAGAGTTGCTAAGAAACACTTCTACATCATGAAGTAACACAAAACATGAAGATTAAGAGTTAGATTTAATGATTAATTAAATTATTACTGAACTCAGCTCTTACACTTATTTTCTTTCTCATAATTAAGGAAAACATTGGGTTTCTGTAATTGGTAGTGTATTTAAACAAAAATATATGCAGTGCACGAGGATAAAAGCAACACTGAAACTGCAAAGATTTTAATTTCATGTGAGAAATTAAAATGAGCATAAGTGGAAAGCATAAATGGGAATATTTTAGTAGTCAAAATAAATATTTAATAAAAAACACACAGCCATAACAAAGTATCAAAACAACAGAACTTTGTATTTGGAAGGATACTATATACATTTCCTTGTGTTAAACATTGCTAAATCCAGTGGCTTAATTATTATCATACTGCCTTCAGCACTCATTGCTTATATTAGTGTTGTAAAAAAGTAATGAGAACAGAAATACTGTTCCAATGACAGAAATAGTAAAGCCAGTTTGCTATAAACAAGGAAGAATTTACCACACCAAGGAGTCAATCTACAGCCATTGATACAAAGTCAACAAGGACTACTGCATGGCATACTGGTTACCGTACCAAAAGTGCATTTATCAGCATTCAGTGAACTGGGAGAAAAGTGAGAAATGCACCCTTTTTTATATAATTTTCAAAAACAACCAGATGATTGACAGTTGGAAGAAAACCCACACATTTCCTTTAAAAGTTGAAGTATAGTCTAAAGATCTTAAAAGCACTGTAAGGTAAAACAGTACATACCATTAGCATTTTAAGTAAAGAACAATTAAAAGGTTATTTTATCATTCCATATTTATAAGACAACTAAAATTTCAGTCTGTTGCTGCATCATCCTATACTACAACCAGTGGCATTTTGATACCTTTTTGTTAAGTTCTGGAAACAATGCACAGAAGAAAACCTTTTTTTCGTGTATAGCAGAGGTCTAGAAAAATGGATGATGTGTAAACTGAAATGTAGATAATGTTAATACAAACAGATTTATATGGGGGAAAGCAGCAATGTCTGGTTTATCCCATTAATTCTCTATTCAGTTCTTTCACTGATTCTTTGAAAGAAGAATTACTGAGTATCCCTGACTACCAGTAATTTTTGAGTGCAATTTTATTAATATTAGGATTCTGCATTCAAGATTATTCTCAGCCTTTTATCCTTCAATTCCCACCCATCCCCCACATCATATTTAAAAGTTGCAGTTTTCTCACATAAAACATTGTAATGCCTTTTGCTGCTGCTGAGTGATATTCAATCAACATTATTTCTATTTTCAAAGCACTGAGACCACTTTCCAGTTGGATGATGTATTTAACAATACTTAAAAATATCATTCTTCCCTTATTTTATTGTGACATCATAAAGACTATTCACCATTTAATATACGTTCAATCTCTTCTAGTCTTTTCAAAGCAGCAACTCTCTTTTTCTCAATGTCTTTGATTTCTTTTGTGGATTTTTTGGGAGTCACTTTGTCTATAGTGTTTTTCTCTGTTAATTTCTTATTTTTTGAGTGCCCTTTATCATTATCAACTGTTGCTTGGGGGGTTTTCTGCTCATTTTTTGCTTCTTTCAAATTTTGAAATGATTTTTTTTTTTCTGTTGCAGCTGCAGTCCCATCTACTGGAAGTGATGACTGTTGTGTAGTGCTGAGTGATGCAATTTTACTTCTAACTATGTTTAGATGACGCTGAATATACTCTTCATGAGGTGCCAGTGCTAGTGTTTCAACCAAGCATTTTTCTGCTTTTATTAAGTCTCGTTCTTCAAAGTAAACCACACAAAGATTATGTTTTCCTTGTACGTTGTTTGGATCCAGTTCCAAAATTTTTTCAAAACACATTTTTGCTCCGATGATATCCTTCTTTTGGTTCATAAGGATATCTCCTTTCAAAATCAGACCTTTGGTATGATCAGGGTAGTACCTCAGTAGGTCTTCCAGGACAGGCAAAGCCAGCAATTCTTTCGCTGTCTGAGAATAAAGCAGTGCCAAATTGAACAAAGCACTTCGAAAGTTTGGCTGTAACCTTATGGCTTTCTTCATCCATGCCTCTGCTTCTGTATCTTTTTTGTCATCCATTGCCAGCATACCCAAATTGAAGTACCCATTTGCATCCTGTGGTTCTTCTTTCACATAATGTAACAGTCTTTGTTTAGCTTCAGGTCTAAGCCGAGCATCACCTAAAAAACAGAAAATGCATTTAATTCTAGATTTACTCTGAAGGATTTTTAGATCAGGTCTGTAAAAAGCTAATTTTTATACAAATTAAAATGTAACACCTTTAACACAAATGTAAAAATTGAAGGGTTTAAAATGCTGCTTTTTATCATTGCTGTGTAACAATTAAAGTAAATTACATGTACCTTCTTAAGTTGACTTGTAGCCATAGTCAGCACCATTATTTTACAATCTGTTGAATTATATTTAGGTTCAGTATAACAGATGCAAAAAGTGTTCCTACAAGTTTAAGAGAAGTTATTTGCATGTATGGTTGAGCAAATGGAATGCAGAGAAGACATCAGTTCTGACAAATGATCTCTTAGAGGCAAACCTGGAGCAGAAGATCTAGTTTGCTACAGATAGACTGAAAGAATTTTAGAAGAGATCACATAGTGTGACTTCAGTTGTAACCAGGCTAAAATATATTCTAACAACAAACCAACAACATTTGTAACTCCCTTTTTTTTTGCATTACTGTCTGAAAAAGAAAAGGTAAATTAATCTTATCTGACAATATCACGATTAGCAAGAGTAGCTTCTAATCTGTGCTATTTTTCTGACTACTCCAGTGAACTTATTTTAGCAAGGAATTCCAGGCACAGATTTATTGAAGGATGAGGGAGCAGGTTTCAACTGCCTTCTTTCACCTCCTGAAACTGTGTTGCACCTTCCAGTACCAATAACTCAATACAAGATAGATAATGCTTCTGCTTGTTTGAAGCCTCTTGTGCTTCCATAGACAAGGCATTTCTTCTATTACCTAACTTACAATATGAGATAGAGAATAATCTATTTGCATTAGCTCTAATCAAATCCCTGTGATCTGTTTCTTAGGGGTAGTTTACCATCCCAACAAAAGTGAAACAAACCTTACTAGTCACTTGACAAGTACTCTTTGCAACAGTCCAAATTAACAAAAAGCTTGCATTTACCCATACAGCTAAAACCTACACATATGAAAACAAAATAAACTCATGAAAATCCAACTCAGTTAATCCTAATTAGCAGTATTACAGAGGAACCTACAAAAACATTTCTGAAGATTAGATTTGAAGCCCACAGAATTTAGCTCTATTTTTTAGTCAATGAAGAATGAAATACATGCAAACCAGATATTACACGTATTTTACAAAGTATGGATTTTTTTTATTATTATATAGGCACAGTTTTGAAGATTGTGTAACAATGCATTATATGTGTAAGATGCTATATTGTAAAACAGCACTTGTATTAAAGATGCTGATCAGCTAAGGTGCACACTTTGCACAAATTCCATACAGTACCTGTAAATTGCAAAGCTGACTATAACAATAAGCAGTTTATTTTTTATGATGGTACAAACTTCTGCTTTCCAAGAACAGAATAGTTCATCCAAAAAACCTAAGCAGTATTGGTCCTATAAATGCAAATACACAATGTTTATATAAGGGACAATTAATTAACATACCAGATTCCTGCATCAGCAGGGCTGAGTTGAATAATGCCAGTTTATGTGTCGGATTAAGTTCTAGTGCTCGGTTGAAATTCTTCAGGGCTTCTGTTGGATCTTTCAGTTCAATGTAAACAATTGCCAAGTTGTACCAGAGGTCTGCGTTGGTTCTGTCTAGTTCTAAAGCTTTAAGATAAGCTTCCTTAGCTTTCAGAGGTTTATTCATTTTTAGAAGTAATTCTCCCCTGTTGAAGAATCAGATATAATCTTCAACTTTTATTCATATTAATATGAAAATAATGGAAAGGTTCTTTTAAAAGTTCTTCCTCCTATGGACAGTGGGCATGAAATAATAGCTTTTTTTTTTTTGTCCGTTTGCTTTAAACACAAAGAAACCCCATGACCTTCTTTACATACCACTCCCAAAGCTTTCAGCTCTCTCAAGTCTGATATATATTAAATGCATACACAAGATAAAAAAGAACCAGAAATGATCAAGGGTTCCTGATATTGGTTCTGTAATTACACTGCAACAGTTACTAACTTAGGCATCTTTGCACCCAAGTCCAAATGGGAATCAAATCTAATAAAATACTGAACAGAAGCATCAATACTCACAGCTGCATTACTCCTATATATTTAGTTGCCATTTATGTGCTTTTTAGTTAGATAGCATTTTCTGGACCACTCCATGATTCAGACTAACCAAAAGGTTTTTCATTCAAAACTAAACCAGGATATTACAAATTTGAGTCTGAAATTCATAAAGAAATCTAATGGAGGTATCCTGCTGTACAGCCCATGTGGAAACACACTATTTGAAGAAGGGATTATAATGAATAATTGACTATTACCCCAACTCTTTGTAGTCTTATTTGGAAATGATAAGATTCCAGCAGCTAATTCAACTGCATTAATTAAATAAAGTTCATAGCCCTGTAAATACATAAATGTTTATTCAAGAATATGCATGATCAAAATTAGAAAAGATACCTGCTGATGTAAGCCTGCTTGAAATCTGGCCTCATGCTAATTGCTTGTCGATATAATTGATCTGCTTCTTCAAGGCGAGATTCATTTGCTCGAATTAAGTTTGCGAGATTGATATAAACATTCAGATGGTTAGGAGCAACTCTTGCTGCATACTTTTTACCTGGAATAATCTGTCAAAAAGAATGTATGTAACAAACACAGCTGAGTAAAAATACAAAAGACCATCAGTATAGACCACTTCACTTAGCCACATTTGTTTTAGGCTATCACTGGACATTAGTGTGCAGGTTCTTAATGATGACAAATCCCAATTCTTCCTTCGCCAAAAATCATACCAAGATATAAACAGAGTATTTTTTCTTTAGTTCTATGAAGACATAGATGACTTTTATATCACACTTAAGATACCTGCTACTTAAGCTCTGCTGTTACATAACTGGGCTCATGCAGATAGCCATTAGGAACAACCCAGACTGTGCAAAACTTCTCCCATGCAGACAAATAGTACTTCCTAAAGCCTAAACTGACATTCTATAATTTTCTTTCCTTTTTTTAACCCTTCAACTTAATCTGTCTAGAATCTTCATACTGTTTCAGAACACAATCTTTAATGCCATGCTTCTACTCAACAGACTGCTGATTTTTGTTGTCAGTCTCATTTCGCCCACTGTTTTTGTTACCTTCATGCATTCTGCAAAATATTCCTCTCTAGAATATTTCCTAGGTATAACTATAACTTATCAAATGGTAATGGTAACAAAGCATATGTTTCTAAAAGTATGTTCAAAGATTTCTTTGTTACTGCTGCAGTTACCTTCTCCCACCTCCCATCCTGTATTTAAGTCTTTTCTTGAGGGTTCAGAAACTTAAGTCATCTCTAACAATGTAAGTGAAAATAAACCCACTGTGACTAGAAAATCTGAGTATACATTTTTAACTGCTGCTTTCTTTTATATCTTCAATTTGTGGATAAAAAACCCCACACATCACAGCAGTGTAAAAAGTAACTTTAAAAGATTTAACAAAGAAGCTCTAAATTAGCATTTTTGGTAGCTATGACTGTATACAACCTACTCTTTTAATAGACAGGTTTCAAAAAACTCCTAACAACTTTAAAGTATATAGGAGGACAGAGCTTCAGGATAAACACGAAAACCGTATCATGAACATAGGTCTGAAAGAGTTCCCTTCAGTGGTGGTAGATAAAATGAAGTTACCAATTACCTGTGGCATTAATGATTTAGCAATCACATATGATTCTTCAGCTTCTTTAGTTTTGTTTAAGTTTTTGTAAGTTCTTCCTACATTCATGTGGGCACCGATATCATCTTAACAAAGAAAAGAATGACATTTAAAAACTTCCATGTACTGAGTATCATGAAAATAAACACCTATGCCTTCAGAGTAGCATTAAGCACAGGTACTGCAAAAGACCACCACCACCACCAAAAAAGCAATTCTGTATTATTTTTCATCTTAATTATGAAGCTAGTAATTCAACCATGTACCAAAGATGAATTATGAAATTACTTGGAAAATGGTAAAAAAATAGAGGTAATGTATCTATCTTTAATCTCTTTCTACAGTAGAAGCACATAAATTGGAAAGGCTGTCCAGTACTACCTAGAACTTCTGCAACAGTACGTAAAATAGAGTAAAAGTGCACTATCTAGATTTAAACTTTTTTATACACCACTTTAGTTTTAAATAAAAAAAATATGTAATAATTATGTTTCATGGGAAATTACAATTTCAGTTAATTCAGAAAGAATGTCATCTAAAGAATAGTTTAAAATGGAAAATCTTTGCATAATTTTCTAGATAGAAACTCTTCTGGAGGACTTTTTCTAATTTCCAAAAACTATGGATCAATTAACTTAGCGCATGATTGTTTGATGTTCATTTGGAGAAAAACAGGTCACTGGGAATATTTTTAAGTAAACTAAGCATACCAAAAATATTAGGAGTGCAGAGACATCACAGTCAAAGCCTTTACCTGGTTGCACTTGTGTGGCCTGTATAAAGAACTGCAGAGCTCTTTCAAAATTCTTTTCATTTTCTAATGCATGCCCCACATTGTTCCATAGTTTTGCATTGTTCTTATTTACCTAAAAAAAGAAAAAATATATAAATGCATAAGGTATGAAGCTAAAATTACATAATAACTGATTTTCTTTTAACTACCTCTTAAAAGACATAAAAATACACAGCAATTGACAGATTTCTTGTCATTTATATGTAAAGAATAACAAAACACTGCATATAGAATGATTACTTGAATTGTTGCTCAACATCTATTTCATTTTGTTATTCGTCCCTAGAAATATCAAACATTTTAAATTTAATTATAATTATTATGGGATATTGTACAAACTATTGCATGCCAAATGCAGATTAAAGAAATTATTTTATGCATCAAACTTTGGTAGATTTTTATACCAAAATGTACTGGGCTTTCATCCAGATAAGCATATAGATTCAACTACTTTAACATGAGAAAATAAAATAATCTATTTCTTGCACATGAATTCCCACGTTTGCATCACACTGCTTTTAAAGCATTCCCAAAAGCAACTAATTACAAGTTAGTACTGTCAATGCAGAAATAGAAGTGGCAAAATAAGCATAATTTCTCTCAAATTTATTATGCTCTACTGCAGTTTTCTGAGAACAACAACACAAGCTTTCTATTATCCCTTTCAAATATAATACAGTACCTTTAAAGCTGACATAAACAACGTGTACTCAGATTCCCAATCCCAGTTTCTGTGAAGTGTTTTTAAGGCATGAGTGAAAAGTACCGCAGCCAAACAAACCCAAGAAACTTTTCTCAGCATACTATGAAATAAAACAAAAAATTGTTATAAGTACACCACCAATTCTAATTTATACTAGAACAGGTACCTCATATGCTAGGAGGCAAATAAATTGAGGAACGTATTTGTGCACAGTATACTTTAGTTTATTTGCCTTATCACCAAACTCCAAAATTTCAAAGGAAATAATGTCCAAGCTCGTTAATTTGGTCATTTAACTTATTTTTACTATCACTATGCAATTCACTGAATAAGAACAAATGCAATCCACGTAACATAATAAAAAAATATATGAAAATTTTACTTCTGTTAGAGCCTATCTGTAATGTAAGGCAATGAACACGGTAATGATGTCAAACAGTGCAGTTCTTCAAAACACTGAACAAAATGTTAAAAAAGAAAAAAAATCAACTAAAATATCATCCTATACTTTTGTTCCACATCTGAGTTCCTCACCAATTCTCTACTGCACACATGACCAAGCTAAACCACACTGCAGAACACATCTCATTAGACAGGTCTGTGGTGGAGACATCCCAATCTTCCAAGAGCAAAAAAACCCCTACTGCTATTGTAATATCTCAATAGGAAAAAGTTTTTGTGTTGTTGTAGCAGTTTTATTTTTAAATCTGCAAACTGGAGAAGAAGTCACTCCCTGCAACAAGCTTGTCAGGAACAAGAGTCTTCTAGATTTTGTGCAGTCTATTTTTCTGGAATTTATACATGATTAACTTTATCTACAACAGATATAAAACACATAACATGCTGGTAATTCAGTCTCTGAATTGTAATTTAACTGTGAAAGAACATGTTAAACAACCAGGAGCCTTCCTACAATTATGAAAATAATTTTTTAAATCAAATCACATTCTTGAACAGACACGTGGCTGTTCACCTCTACAGCGATTCCTTATACTTATGCACAGCTTTTCACACCACTATGTGCTTCACAAGGGTTTGCTAAAAACCAAAAGGTTTTTTTTCACTCCATTTTAAGATACAAAAAATGCTGTGCAGCAGACTTTATGTGCTTGGTTTTAAGCACTATTAAAAATTAAAAAGTACAAGAGCAGAATTAAGAAAGAAATTCTAAAAGATCAGCAAATTAACCAGTGAAAACTGGAATATACAGTAACCTATAGCCCCAACAGCCTTGCAAGAAAGGTTTTTCTTTCCACATATTTCTAAAGTAAGGAGCCTTCTCTAGAGTGCTGATTTCAGTATTTTTGTAGTAAACATCACTGCCTAATTTCCCTCCCCAGCCATCCTCTCCCGATTCCTTGCTTTCTTTCATGTCACTTCTATTTTTACTGCCTAGTAGTAGGATTTGTGATAATACTTTCTACTTACTCCCACAAGGTATCAGTAATTTCTCATTATCCAGTGCTGTCAGCTTTGGCAGCACTAGCTTAAGTTACTGCAAGGCCTCACCTCTAATGATAGCAGACTACGCAGACTAGGAACTGCTGCCTTTCCATTTGTCTGAACTGGCATTAGATGTCATTGGGGTTACAAGGGTAAAGCATCCAGGTCAGAGGGAGGTATGTGCAGATCAGTGTAAAAGACAGCAAAAAAAGACAAAGCTATATGCAAAACATGCTTTTAAAACAGAATTTCCTAAGGATAAATTGTTATTAAGAAAATGATTTAGTTTAACAAATACTGAAAGGCTCCAATGACTACTTCTAGCATGGCATGTGAAAATTTAACTAGTAAAGGATTTTTTTTTCAATTCCAATACCTGAAAGGGGCCTGTTGAGAAGACTGAAGAAGACCTGTTCACATGGGCATGTAATGATAGGACATGGGGTAACGGCTTCAGGCTAGAGAAGGGTAGATTTAGGTTGGACATTAGGAAAAAGTTATTTAATATAAGGGTGGTGGATCATTGCAACAGGTGGCCTAGAGAGGTGGAAGGGGCTCCACCACTGAAGACATTCCAGGTCGTGCTTGATGGGGCTCTGAGAAATCTATTCTACTGTGAGATGTCCCTGCTTATTGTAGTGGGGTTGGGCTAGATGACCTTTAGAGGTCCCTTGCAACCAAAAACATTCTATGATTCTATGGTTATACAATTTTAATATACTACTGACATTATATAAACTTCAGTCATTAATCACTTTTGAATAAAGGACAAATCAATCTGGCCAAAGATTTTTTTTGCATACATGTATATGTGTGCGTGTGTGTATATATATACAGTTTAAATACATGTTATATAGCACCCTCAGAGTAATCCACTGGTCTCCAAAGAGCTTCTTTGCTGCCATTTGCTCATATGACTGCCAAACAGTTTCTTGGTCATTTTTCTATGTTCAGCAAGAACTTGAAACAGAGTAAAAGCTGTAAGGCAACAAATTAATAGCAGTAAAAGCTCCAGTGGGAAAGCTTGCAACTATATATATAATTATCTCCTATGAAATTAAGAGAGATGAGTTTAACCAGTCATAGCTAATACTTCCTTACCTTTTGTTCGATAACTTCTTCCATCCATGTGCTACTAAAATGCAGAATCCCATGCTAGGAACATACAACACTCTT